AAGGGAGGAGAGACCATTCATGTTTCCTAGGGAAACTGCTCTGGGAATCACTAAAGCTTATTTTTCTAGGTAGGCTCTACATATATTTCCTGCAACTGCAGACCTGCAGACTCTCAGCACTTAGGTGGAATAGCTCACCTCTCCGCAACGTGAGTATCTCTCTGCCCAAGAGCCAACCTTGCCCCTCAGCAGCTGGATTAGCTACCCCCAGCTTTAAAAAAATTGAAAATAAAGAATATTTTAAAACTTCAACACTGGCCAGAGAAGTAGGAGGAGATTAAACCTAGCAGCTGAATATAAACCCAGTGTAGACATAACCTAAACTTCAAAAGAGGAGCTAGATATCATTTTGATCAATGAAGAGCAACAGAGATGGCAGAGAGGCAAGTGCCCTTCCTTTACACTACATTCTCTGATCCTCCACAAGAATTTACTGCTCTTTCAGTCTGTGCTGGAAACAACAAACACTTGCACACTTGAAATTTGCACAACCATTTGGTGAACAGACATTTATCCAGGGGCTATAGAAACCAGTGCTATTTTGCAAGCACAAGCACCTCTGCTCCCAGTCACAAAGACAGGCAGAGAAAGCAGAAGTTTACTATTCTTAAAAGTCTGAGGATATGATACTGTCAACAGTCAACCCAGATGAGAGGGAAGAATAGTGTGAGAGGGTGTGGACTGGAAAAATCCTAAAGCAGCACGATGGATTTCCTCATCCAGTTAAGAATTCAGAGTTATAAACAGGGCAGCTCTTCCCAAAACCCAGGAGCCCCTGGGACCTAAGGAAATCCAAGTGCCTCAGTGGTAATTGTAATAAATCTGTAGTGCTGCAGAGAAAGCCCAACACACGCAAGTTTGCTTCATGATTAAGAGATCTCTGTAATACCTTAAGGTCCCCAGTGGGCCCGGGGCAGTGAGATACAGCTAACGTGCATCAAACACGTAAGAATATCTCAATCATTACCACAGCGAGGTGGCTCCGAAGCCAATCGATAGGGCAATTAGATTTTATCAGTACACGCCTCTCTGCCACCTACTTCTGCTGTCGTTGCAAAAGCCTCAGTTACCCCTGCCAGTTCCAGGTCTCCGGATGTCTTACTGAAAAGCACTGGCTGGGGCAGATTTTAGCTTTTTTTTGTAAATTTTTGCTGGTGGTATTCTTGATCTCCTTTAAAGGTCTGGTATCAGGGGACACTTCAAACACGAGTTAAAACTGTCAGCTATTCTTACCTAGATGTTTTGCTTCAGTACACATACTAACAGGGGGGAACATAACACCACCCCCAAATCTCTAGAAGTAGGCTATAATCCACATCTATTCCATATTGTAACAGTGGAACAACAACACAGAGGTCTAGCAGAGTTAGGGAGACCAAGGCAGGAAACTGAGCTCTGTTGTTCAGTCATCATTTGCTTTATGTTCTTGGGCAAATTTGCATTTCTGTGTCTTGGTTGATTCACACACCTCTACAATATACTAAAAAACTGGTGGAAGGAATTATGCATCCTGTCCAACATTTCTGATGAAACTTTACTTTCTGGCAACACAACCATCTCCCTCTCCCCTTTATCACTATAGACTAGCAGTAACAGTCTTTCCATTTTTTATAAGTGTATTTTCAAAGCACTGTAGCTCTCAGATTTGCTAGCCCAGATTTCTGTAGCTGTTAAACTTATCAACAGGTCACAATTACTACACTGGTCTTAATCAAACTTAAGTAATGCAACAGGTAACATAGCCACTTGTTTTTGATCACTCATAAGATCCAAAATACAGTGACTTTTTTTGACCCAGCTATCCCAAGCCCTAAGACTGCACCTCCTCGAGGCTTATTGTTCCCAGTGGCCAGCACCCACCACTGTGGGTTACTACACCCACCAAGGTGGGTTCTATTCAACCCTTTTCTAGTCAGGGCCAAATCCTATCAGAGCCTTTCAGGACACAGTTATTTTCTTTCAGCTTCTGCTGTTCCAAACCAAGCTCTTCAGTCTCTCTGTTCCCAAATATAACCATCACCATTGATACAATATGACCCGTTTTCATTTAAAAGTTATCCATAAGCATTCCAAGGATATTAGTATCAGTGCTGCTCTTCCAACCAAATATGTTCCAGCAACACATCAGTCTCTTCCTCCCCTTGTGACCTGAATATCAGCTCAGCTCTATCTTGAACCCTGACTCTAGTCTCACCTACCTCCCAGAACTCGTAAAAGTCCCAGAACTAACTATACACAATTGTTTTCCTTTTGTTTCAGCCCCTTTCTGCATTTCAAAGACCATCAAAGATCCAGTAATACTTCTAATTTTCCATTCCATGCTGTTCGAAACTATAGCACTGCCTGTAATCCTGGTTTTAACTATAAATCAAGGAGCTCCCTCACAGAATTAATCATAAACCAACCAACCCTGCCAACTTCAGCCCTCTGCTTAACTCCATGGGCCCTGTGATAGGCAAATCTCTTTCATTTGTGCTATCCTTTTCTCAATCCTCTACTTGGCCTCAGCCATAGCCAAGAAGCCACATACACTTCTGCACCCTGTTTTAGCAGTATGCGCTCACCTCTCGCCCTGCATATGCAGAATTTGCAGTCTGAGCTGCAGAGCAGCCTCCGGAGTGTTCAGCCTCCACTAGCTGGGACTCCGTGCCTAACTTCAAACCACAAATGCTAAACCAGCGACAGAAAACATTTTAGCAGCTGATTCCAGCTTACTCTGAGAGCACTGCAGCTTATAGTCATGAGCGATGAGGGAGTTTTTAAACTTATCAGCATTAACATCATTTATTCAGCATTGTCCATCTCCAAATGCCTTTTCTGAGGGCGAGATTCTCATAACCCAAATGCACAGTATTGTTCTCAAAGGCATACAATGCAAACAGCAGGCAACTGGGGACAAGTTTATTTTTTTCCCCTTATTGTAACTAAGTGCTTTAAACAACAGCCAGTCTTTTAGACTAACACAACACTAACTCTCTTAAAATTATGTATGTAGAAATTAGTTATACCAGTCTCTCCTTCCACCCCTGCCAGTAAAAACAAACAGAACCAAGACATAAACCCAATAATCAGCATCAGCTACAAATCCCAGCATATTTTGCTTCTGTTCCCTTGACGTGCACGTCCGGGAGGTGGTGACATAGGTACCAGTTCAGCACATGCTCTAAAGTCAGAGCTGGCAGGTTCTGTGTAGACTTTGGCAAATGGGTTTTCCCTTAATCAAACAAGCACGTAGAGTGACATGCTCCAGACAGCAGGGAAAAATCAGAGTTAAACTGTCCCCGTGGAGATGTGACAATGCCCCCTCTCCCTTTAGATACCTAATCTCCCCACCATCCCCCCACTTACTCTTTTGCTGGTCAACTCTTGTTAGACACACCAAATCTATCATGTGCTGAAAAGCTCTGTCGCTTGCTTGGTGGCCTCTTGGGTGAATGAGCCCTCTTCTTTTTCAGACTTCCATCAAGGTCAACTCCAAGCACAGACAGCAGTCCTCACTGCTACAACACGTGTGCAGCATCTATGTTTTGTGTTTCTTGCTGTTTCTCATGGTTAAGAAGCTAACCAGAGAACCTCAAACTCACTCTAACAAGTCAGAGTGAGGACTTCTACATTTAATCTTTTCTACTGTTTAACACTGATGGGAATTAAAAGTACCCTTTGCATGTCTGGAATCTTATGGATCTCAAAAAATTTCAGCAATGCTGATCAAGTCCAGTAGTTTCTCTGTAAAGCAAACAATATTAAATCCTATTTTAACACGCAGAGTCTGCTGAGACATAGAGACTCAAGCAAGGTCGTACAGAAAAACGTATCTCTCTGGCCAGTTTGGCTCTTAGAGTTGTGTAGGAAAAGGGGCTGTAGAGATGGGTTAATGAAGAGAACATGGAGGTTCAGCTGTAAAAGCAAAGACTGGGAGCTGCCGATGGCTGCTTTACAACATTCGACAAATCCCCCAGTTCAACACAACACATACATGGGACTGAACACTTGACTCTAAAGTAGTCACACCAGTACAAATTTCACTGCAGAGAGGAGGAACCTTTCTGAAAAGGGGTCAAGCCTCATGCAAAAGGCAAACCAGATACCTGTCATGTTACCGAGTATCACCCGAAGACATTCCCAAAGTGCATTAGATGTGGTGCTCCCTTCAGATCCGGGGTTAAGCTACACAGTCAACAGCATGACTTACAAGAAAATATGAACAAAACCACAAACATACAGATTTTCAGGAAAGGCCTAGATTAACATACACAGAAAGATCCAATTCTGATTTGGAAGGACAACGATCACTCAATATAAAAACGAGCCTAACTCCCAGTTTTTCCACAACTTTTATTTATAAACAAAAGCAGATCGTAGCTTTTGCAAACAACAAGCAGATCTCTAGTTTATTACCAGTGCCTCACCTGTTGACTGATGCGTATCTATCACCAAAGCATCCTTGCCCATAGCTCCCTCCCTTCCCGACATCCAGACAGGCACAGAGAGGATCCAAGAGGAGCATTTCTGGTTTCACCATGTTAAGCTGAAACCAGGTGAGCTTCCCAAAAAAGCCAGGTAGCACTAGAGAACCAAACAATCACGCCCACAAAGGAGTTGGCAGGCACAGAGGCAGCACAGGGAACCTCTGATTAATGAAATTACAAATCAAACCATGCTCTCTGCAAGGCCTTTCTGCTTCACTTGACACTAACCCTGGGGACATTTCACTTCTTTGCTGGCGCAAGCTCCTTTGCCAGTAGTTTAACACAGACCGCTAGATTTGAGAATAACACAGGGCTGAAATCTCAAAAGGACTTTAACATCACCATGAAATCCTTTCCATATTAATCTCTAGCCAGAATATTAAAAGCCTTCATATAGCTCACTCCAAAGTGTAACAGAAACAGCCACAGAAAAAAAAAAAAGCTGCCGAAAACATGAACAAATGAGGGAGTGAAAGAGGGAGGAGGGAAGTCAACAAACCCAAACCAGCACAACCTGCTCCAGCTCCTTACCTGCTGCTCCTAAGCCAACATCGATGCTGTTTCTCTTGAATTCACAGCGGCTCTGGGTCTCTGGCATAACGAGCTGACGGCTCTGATGCAGGTTGGAGATGATAGTGGAAAGGTCGTTATCACGGCTGCAACAGAGCAGAAAAGCACCAAGTTAAGGAAATCCTATTTGCCACCACATAATTGATTTTTGTGTGTGTGAGCGTATGTGTGTGCGCACGCAAGATTCTTTTGTTTGTCCCTGACACAGCTGTATTTCAAGAAAGGTTCTCCCCCTCCTACCCATCAGGTTCCTAGGTAACCTCCTCTACTTTTGGGGAGCAGAGACTAAGTGCAAAGCACTTCCCAAACTGCACTCTCATTTCCCATAAAGGACTCTGCAGCTGCCAGAGCTCCTGATTTCAGTTTTGCCAGATATAACTTGCGTGGGCCAGAACTTACATCTCAGATGGAAAAACTGAAAGTGTAGGAATTGGCAGATCTATTCCAGAATTAATAGGAAACTTGAACTGAAATAACTGATAGTTTTCTATCAGTTGCCACCCTTCTATTCTTAAAAAAAGTAAGTTTTTCCATTCCATCACTATTGGAATATGACTACTTTATTTACTTGAATAATAGTTTTCTTTTTAGAGAGAAACCCACCATGAACTCAAACATCAGCATTACTCAGAGCTGAGAGTACGGATATATTTACAAAACTAATTTTCAACTCCTCACTGTAACAGATCTTGAAACAATGCTCTCTTCCTTTTTGGAAAAGAGAGTGCATTAAAGCAGGTCAACATTATTTTGCCTATTATCCCTGCATCAGATTGCTGCTAAGTAGGCTAGTTGAGTCTTTTTTCTTTTTATTCCCCCACCACCTTCTATGGAGAGGGAGGACACAAAAAGACATTCACTGTAGCAGATACTGCAGTTTAGCTGGCAAACGCTTTTGCTTGCAAACCGCTATCCACTTGCAAAATACTTCTGAATAACTGATACACGAACACTGAAGAGGAAGACCAAGCTAAACCGTATACATGATACTAAATAGAAATGCTGGAATGTCTCCCTTTTGTTTGCAGTATGTGTAAATCACGCACCCTTCTAGCACAAGATGCTTGCCCCAAGCAAAATGTCGCACTTTTTCTTCCTCCCCTCTTCTAAATGGAAGATGACAGCCAGAAGAACCAGAGACACTTACAAAAAATTATACATATTCGAAATACTGCCCTCCCTCCCACATCCACAGCTCCCTCCCAACCTCTACTCACATGACAAGTGCACCCACTCTGTGCTGCTGTGACACACAGCACATGACCACCAACTCACTGGTGCAGAGGAGAGTGTCCTCACCTGGGACCAGCAGGACAACACGGAGGGTGCATTATCTGCAGAATTACCTAGCAATGATCTTCCTTTAAATATCCCCCTCTTATCCCCCCTTACCTCCTCCCCACCTGCTGCACCCCCACCCACAGGCTATCAGCACTAGCAACAGGAGCAGATCTGCTCAAATGCTCCAGAGAGCCCAGCCCTAGTGCAGAAGCAGGGGCTAATCTGTCGTCTAGCTCCCTGCTAATCAGATAAGTTTATGACAGAAAGTCTTTAGACAGAGGTACTTTCAGCGGGCGTCTGGCTCCAGATTTTCGCAAGATGTAGCAGACAAAAACAGCCTCTCATTTCAGCAGCCGCTGTCATGTTCCCTGCTGCTCCCCCCACCCCCAATCTCAGCAATGAGATAGGATGCTCGGATCTCAAAGCCTTTGAGCACCCATTGCATCTTCCTCCGCTAAACCAGTTCAGATTCCTCCTTATGCAAGCAGAAGGCTAATTACTTAAGCAAGCCCACAGGTGAGTGGGAAGCCCATTTCTCCTGTGCCAAGCAGTTTTGGGTCTTATCCTCTTTTAGCTGCCACCTTTAAGATGCATTATGCAAATATTTTGGTGTCTTAAGTCATTTATGGGATTAATGTGAAGTGATTATCAGTTCTTTTTAATCATGCCAATCAATAACTGGATGTCAGGGACAGAGGACAAATGCAGATAAACGCTGCCATCAGCACAATGCTCAGGAAAGGGCGGAGGAGATGAGCCAGAAGTGCAGAGGGAGAAAGGCAGGGAGTAGGAAGAGAAAAATGGGATAATTACATCTTTGCATTTGCAGAGTGTCTTGCATCCCAATCGAGCCCAAAGCACCTCTGATATGTAAACACATTAAGAGAGCTACAAGAAGGAATTGCTTTATACACCACTAAAATGCAACTACCTCTCTTTCTGGAAAAGAGCATAGCAACCTCTTAACACAACTCGATTCTCCAAAACGCAAGAAGTGCAGAACACTGCAATATATCCACTGAACACTAAAACCAGGAGGTCTACAAAGAAGGAAACGTTACCACACTAGAAGTGGTATTTTTCTTCCCCAGCAATCTTGTGGTTTTAGGAAATTTTCCACAGCCTTAAAATTAAAATTGTCGTGGTATGCAAAGGTGCGTTAGCAAGTCATAACTCCACACATGAGCAGATACCGCAGGGCTGATAGCTACAGTCTACAGGCTTTGAATTCAACTCGGTCTACCCGCACAATTAGGCAGGATCCCGGAAAAACATGACTTTGCTGGAATACCTTTGCAGAAGGCAAACTGAACACCAAGGTGACATTAATAGGAAAGGGAAGAAAGACCATAGAGATAAGGCAAATAGGCCAAGACAGCTTTTAACACATCAAACTGTCCCCAGGAGTTGTTCCTTTTGTCTTAGCGTATGGGAGGCTTGAAGCAGAGACTGCCTTTTTGTTCTGGGCTTGTTCTACCCCTGGCACAATGGGAGGTAGCTTATAGCTGGGGCTCAGTCTTACTATGAGAAAAGAGAGTGAACGGTAACCAGAGCTGCTTAGGAAAAAATGAGATACCTTTCTGCATTGGTGATAAGCATTTTTTAAACACTGTAGGCCAATTTGGTCCCAGCAAACACAGCTCCACACAGCTGCAAGCAGACCCCAGTGATTATGTGCACTCTCTAATGAGTGACGCACTTGCATAAGGCTCTGCTTAGACCACTGAGGACTTTCTACCACCATGTTGAATCAACACAATAAAACATCAGCTTTGGTTCTGCAGGTGACAACTCTGCCACCTCCACCTTACCCGTGACTGCATCAGTGAGTAAACAAACATAATTTTTACAAGGTACCCTCCACAAAGCAAAGTCCAACTAATTGCTTTCATCCCAATGCCATTTAATAAAGGTAAAGTTTAACTTTTAATTAAATCTCAGTTCTTCAGGTACACCACCAGCTACTCACTGCTTTAGCCAGGAAGAAGGGCTCTGCCCAGATACCAGCAATTTTCAGAAATTGCCTGCTTTTGCACACTCGCTACCTCTTGGATTGCAGCACTGCAACTGCACTCCCAATCCTGAAACCACATTTTCTCCTACTGATTGGCCCAGCAGGAGGGACAAAAGCCACACCATTACCACAGGCTTTGGGAGATCTGCCTGGTCCATGTACCAGAAGTTGCAAAACATGAGCTGTAACTCCAGCCTGGCCAAACCCCTTCGCAACTCAGCCCTGCCCAGGCCCTCCCCCTCAGTCCTGAGGGGAACACCTCAGCCCAATCACCAACACCAGCCCAAGGCAAACATCTACCTCAGCCCTACCTTGTCCATTTGCCATAAAAATCTTAGAAACAGCCTAGCATATATCTCCACAGAGAAGTGTGGAATTTGAAAAATTCAACCAACCACTTACCTTTTCCTGAAGGCAACCTGCACCCTGCACAACGTGCTCCCCTCAGCAGAGCGGCCCGACAAACGCCTGCAGCTGTGTGAAATATGGAGCACCTGGGCTCGGCTAGTGCCCACCCAGCGCAGGCCTGCCCTCCGCCCTGTAGTGCAGTTCCTTTTCCCTAACTGGTCCCCGATTCCTCAGTCCCATTCCTCCTTCACTCCTCTCACCTCCGGACTTTTGTGCCCGTGAGCCGTAAGCAGTCCGGCTCCCCGCCGAACCCATCGTGCAGACACAGCTCTAGCAGGCTGGCTCTCGGCGCGCGGAGCTGAGCAGTGCAAAGCACAGCCTCAACAAGTGGCACAGCACAAAACTGAGACCCTCTCCCTCTGCCCACGTTACACTATTGTCTGTGTGTTCCACTTGCTTGCAATACAGGACAGTGTTTTCAAAAGACAGCAAATCTCTTGAGGAAAAGGCTATTTGTTCCTCTGGGTTTACACACCACCAGAATGTGCTCACAGTAATTACAGAATCACAGACTGGTTTGGGTTGGAAGGGACCTTAAAGATCACACAGTCCCAACCCCCTTCCCCAGGCAGGGCCCCCTTCCCCCAGCCCAGGGTGCTCCCAGCCCCGTCCAACCTGGCCTTGAACCCTTCCAGGGAGGGGGCAGCCACAGCTGCTCTGGGCACCCTGGGCCAGTGCCTCACCCCCCACATAAGGGAAGAATTTCTGCCTTAGATCTAACCTAAATCTCCCCTCTTTCAGTTTAAACCTGTCACCCCTCGTCCTACCCCCACCCCCTGATCCAGAGTCCCTCCCCACCTCTCCTGTCCCCCCTTTAAGCCCTGGGAGGCCGCTCGAAGGTCTCCCCGGAGCCTTCTCTTCTCCAGGCTGAACCCCCCCAACTCTCTCAGCCTGGCCTCCCAGGGGAGCTGCTCCAGCCCCCCCAGCATCTTCGTGGCCTCCTCTGGCCCCGCTCGAGCAGCTCCATGTCCTTCTGCTGTTGGGGGCCCTGAGCTGGCCCCAGCACTGCAGGGGGGTCTCCCCAGAGCGGAGCAGAGGGGGAGAATCCCCTCCCTGGCCCTGCTGCCCCCCCTGCTCTGGCTGCAGCCCAGGGCACGGGTGGGTTCTGGGCTGTGAGCACACGGTGCTGGCTCATGGGCAGTTTTCCCCCCACCAGCACCCCCAGTCCCTCTCCTTGGGGCTGCTCTCCAGCCGCTCCTCGCCCAGCCTGGGTTTGTGCTGGGGATTGCCCCGGCCCCTGGGCAGGACCTTGCCCTTGGCCTTCAAGTTCATGAGGTCCTCCCATATACATAATCCTGTCATATACAGAACAGGCAACAACTTCATCAGCTCAGTGCTCCAGCAGGCAGAGCCAATGCAGGAAGAAAGATCCTTCCCTTGGAG